AAAAGGTTATTACCCTCAATCAATCATTATAGTTTTTAGCATATGACAAACTTAGCCAGAAGGAATAAATCTATAAATCTTACATCTAGTCAAGAATTTTGTCAATTTGATCAAAAACAAAAATATTTTTCACGAGGTCTCCAGAATTTCACAAAACAAAGACTTATTATTTCATAAACTGCTTACTCTTTTCTAGTTGATGAATGTGATTTTTCCTAATTCTGTATCAATAAAGCATGTCAAGGTCATGTGTTTTTATCTCATTAATTACAATGTAGGGTCTTATGAGTCAAATGAAATAGCCAAATGGAGAATGGTTAATAAAAGGATATGCAGCATGATTATAAAATTTCAGAATTACTCTTTAAACTTTCTGAAAAAGTATTTCATACCTGAGGTGCATTTGTGGCCACTAGAAATGCATTTGTCCTCCCTGGGTGATCATAATCATGCATGGCAGCTGCCACATACAATGCCATCAATTCTAATGCAGGAATATTTGAAGACAGGCAGCCATAGCTCTCATCTGGAACAGAGCAGCTCTTTGAGGAAATATAAGCAATTCGTCCAGGATTAATTCTACCATTGGAATCTGAGGAACAATAAATAGCAAAATAAACCAGCATTAGCACAAACTTCTTCACAGTTACACTAAGGAGAGGATTACTCAGCAGGTAATATGATCACTTACCTCATTTATTGACTTAAAAACTAGACTACATGGAGAACCAGGGATTTAGCTCAGTGGCACTGCACCTGCCTCGCAAGCGCAAGATCCTGAGTTGAATCCCCGGTACAAAAAATAAAAATAAAAACCTAGACTCCATGAAATTAAAATGACTATACCCTTTTTAACATACACATTAGAAGTGTTAAATCTGATCTTAAAGTTATATACTTTACAGGCCATGACAGTATAATTTACACCAGCTTGATGCTCTTACTCAAGTTAATAATTTTTTTAACTTCTGATTTCCTACATATTTGTTACTTAAGGGGCAGATATAATGGTCAGGGTATAGGATATAAGAAAAAATAATTGATAATAAAATTTGATTAAAAATATAGAGAGATTTAGGAATTTAATATATTACTAAGCTGAACTTCTCAATTTAGACACTTTTTAGTTTTCATCCAGAAAGATTCTATTTCATTTCTGGCACTGACTAAAATTCTTCTCTTTCTTTTTCCTTTCATATAATGGAATTTAAAAACTACAGAAAGCGAAAAGGCACAGAAACCTGGGGAATGTCTATTTTATCCTCTTGTTGGAAACAATATGTTCACTACCTACCCTTTGTTTTTTGTTCTTAATACCTTACCATTTTTCTTTTTTCTATTTTGGTAGCTTTACCTAGATGGTGATATTACTTTTGCTAAAGGGATCTTAAGAAATTACAAAGAAAAACCCCTGACACTGTATTTACAATAGACAGTACATAAAAGCAAAGATGTAAGAGATACAAAATTTCCGTAGTTGTGTTCATCAATGGAATCTAGAAGTAATGCCCTGGCTAGTCAAAGTTCAAAATGATTTTTAAATTATTTTTAAATTATTTTAATTGACTTGATATTTGTCATCATAAGAACTTTTTAATATAGTGACTTTAGTTCACGAGTGATAATTATAAAGTTACCTCTTTAGTCTTATGCTGCTTAATTTTGTATCTAAACTGAGCTTCTGAATAACAATACAACTTTTAAAATGGTTATAAAATAAAAACAAGGTAGTGAAATGTACAAATCAGGATATATATAAGCAAACATCTAATAAGACACTGATTATCAATATCAGAGTGAATAATTTGAATTTTTTCCTGTGTTATACACATTCTGGATTTTCTCTACAATTATAAAAAATATATTTAAAAAATCAAGGTGGCAAAAGAATACCCTTTCAAACAAATTACTTGAGCTAACCTATTAGAATTTTATGCTTAACAAAAACTAATAGAATGATAAAGAAAAGTTGGCAAGAACAATCAAATATAATTATATAATGGATCTCATTTATTTCCTTTCAGAAAATAGCGATTCATTTAATTTGCTGATTTAAAAGATGGCCTCAGTAAAGGGCCCTTAGATTGTGAGGAAAGATGCAACACTCCTCTCCTTAGATGCCATGGTCTTATATACAAAAAATCACAAGAGGTCTACTTTGAAATTATTAGAAGTAAAAGTAAGTTCATCAAAGTTGTAGGGTACAAGATCAACATGGGAAAAGCAATTATATTTCAATATACTAGCAACAAATTTAAAAAAACTACCTCCCAATTCCATTTACAAGAACATCAAAAAGAATAAACTTAGTAATAAATTTATCAAAAAATAAAAAATCAGTATTCTGAAATTATAATTTATTTTTGAAAGAAATTTTTTTTTTTTTGGTACCGGGGATCGAACTCAGGTCCTTGCGCTTGCACAGCAGGCGGCGGAACCACTGAGCTAAATCCCTGGCCCCTTTGAAAGAAATTTTTAAAAGACCTAAAGAAATGGAAAAATACTCATGATTATGGATCAGAATATTTAATATTTTTAACATGGTAGTAGTCTCCAATCTGTTCCACAGATTCCTCACAATTCATATCAAAATCCCAGTCGAAATGTATAAAATATGTAAGCCAAGTATAAAATTAATAGTGGTGAATGTCTAAGTAAGAATTTATGGTGTATTACTCTTGATTCACTTTGGGTTTTTTTGTTTGTTTGGGGTTTTTTGGGGGGTTTTTTTGGTACCAGGGATCAAACTTGGGACCTTGTGCTTGAGAGGCAGGTGACAGAATCACTGAACTAAATCCCTGGCCCATGTTGATTCACTCTGAATTGATGTATATACATATATTATAGCAAATAAATAAATAAATAAAATTAATAATGGAATTGTAAGAAACCCAGATTAACCAAAACAATCTTTAAAAAGAACACGGAAGATTCACACTTCCCAATTTCAAAGCTTACAGAGCTCCTATAGTGAAGACATGCGGTAATGATGTAAGGCTTAACTGAACAGAGTCAATCAATGGAATGGAACTGAGAATCCAAAAATAAACTATCATATTTATAGTCAACTGGTTTTTGATGAGGGAGCTAAGACCTGTATGAAAGTCAACTACATGCCCTACAAGATGCTCAGCCCTTTCCGTGATATCTCATTTATGCTTACAACATTTTATAGGGTAGAAACTGATGTAATAACATTTAAGAGCTCACTGTGTTTAGAATATACTAAGAATTTTTTTTCAACAAATACTACTAGAACTGGCTATCAACACTCAAAATAATGTTGGAGCTCTTCATTACACCAGACCCTAAAATTAGCTACAAATGGATCACCGAGCTACATTTAAGAGCAATTATAAAACTCTTAGAAGAAAACATGGAAAATCTTCATGCCTTTTTTTTCATGCCTTTTCTTAAAGTATTCTGAGATATGAGCATAACCAACAACAACAACAAAAAAACTTAGATGAATCAAAATTAAAACCCTTTGTGCTTTAATATACATCAAGAAGATAAAAAGATAAATGACAACTGTAAGATAAAGTATGGAGTTTTGCATGCAACTGAAATTAAACTATTACCAGCTTAAAATAACCTTTGTAACTAAAAGATGTAAGCCTCATGGTAATCTCAAAGCAAAAAAAAAATAAATTATACAAAAGAGAAAGAAATCAAAGCATACCACTATAGAAAAGTCATCAAATCACAAAGGAAGACAGCAAGAGAAACAAACAACATATCTACTAGATAACCAAAAAGCAATTTAATAAAAAACAGCAGTAGTATATATCAATTATTATCTTGAATACACAAGAATTATAGTCTCCAATTAGAGGAGTGAGCCAGTTGTGTTGGTGCACACCTGTATTCACAGTACTCTGGAAGGCTGAGGTAGGAGGACTGCAAGTTCAAGCGCAGCCTCAAATAGTGATTTAGCAAGACTCTGTCTCCAAATAAAAAAGGGAGCTGGGGATATAGCTCAATACAAAAGTCCTGGGTTCAATACCACAAAAAAAAAAAAAACAATACCAAAAAAAACTGGTTGAATACTTTGAGAAAGAGAAAAGAAAACAAGACTCAACTATATTCTCCCTACAAGAGATTCATTTTGCCTTTAAGTGTTTCTGAACATTAATGATACAAAGTCCCAAAAAATCAAGAAAAGTCTATTTAAATACCATAAAAATACTTAGGAATAAATTAAATCAAGGAATTGAAAGATATGTACATTGAAAATTATAAAGCATTGATGAAAGAAATTGAAAACGTGAATAAGTGAAAAGATGTACAGTGTTCACGGATTAGGTGAATTAATGTGATTAAAATATTCATATCACCCCAAAGAAATCTACAGATTTACTATACTGTAATGCCTATCTAAAACCCAGTGATGTTCCCCCAAAGACTCATGTACTTATAGGTGAGGCTTTGGGGTAGGTGATTGGATCATGTGAGTGTGATACTCATCAGATCAATAAATCTGAGGGTATAAGCTCACTGCCACCATTTTTCCCCCAGTAAAATCAGATCCTTGACTTGATGGAACATTATCTTTAATAACATCAGGGCATTTATTCATATTTGGTAGATAATAATAGTGAAGTACTGTACACAAGGAAGGTAAATCTATATCTGGGATAAGAGAGAATAAAAGCTGTCTTTTCCAAAACGGGACAGGATCCAATGTAATGAACCTACTACCAGATGGCTGGTTCCCTTAGGGAATGGTTCCATATGAAGGACTTATTCTTGGGATCTCTCCTATTGGCAAACTAGGCACTTAGAAGAGGCCTGGGCCAGTTCAGCCTTGATGAGAAGAAGCCTATGGTGCTGAGACCATACCTAATCTCTATTCTTGCTGTCTTAGCTGTCTATAAATTCACTGGAGATGTGGAAAGACATTTAAATACTATGACAAGACATCATTTTGTCCAGTTGAATACTGAAAGCCTCCTCTACAAAGAATGACTTCAGTCAATTAGTCACAGTCCTCCAGAAAAACAGCACTATCAAGATATGAGGGCGCCACCTGCCTCACAAGCGCAAGGTACCCAGTTCGATCCCCAATACCAAAAAAAAAAAAATGCGGGGGTGGGGGGTCAATTTTAAAGAAACTGGTTTCCATAATTAAGGAGGCCACAAGTTCAAGAGAGTTGTCTGGCAGGGTAGAGATCCAAGAAAGAGCTGTTTTTGCTATTGAGGTCCAAAGGCTGTCTACTAGATTATTTTCTTGCAGAGGAGAGGCCAATCTATGGCCTGTTTAGACTTTCAGCTTATGTTATAAGGACTACTCACATTTATTTCAAAGTCTACTGACTTAAATGTTAATCTCATCCAAAAAATACCCTCAAGGAAATACCCAAATGAATGTTTGATGAATTTATCCAGGCCAAGTTGACACAGAATGATTGTCACAACATGTATTCACAAATATCCATCATTCTGCACCCACTCCGTAAAGTCTAGGCACAAACCTCTTTCCTAGGTCTCGTTATCAATTTTTAAGTTGTTTTTTCTCATCATCCACAGAAGCATCCAATGGTATAAATAAGCATAGATCCTTTCCTCTGACCATTTATCTTTCCAGGTCAA